CTCACCTGTCCCGGCTGCCGAAGCTCTAAAGGCCTTGAAACGTTGCTTACTCATGTTGAATCATCACAGGGAACGACGAGTTGCCCGAAAAAAAAACTTGGGCATGCAAAGGCATCGCAGGCTCCGACAAAAATAAATAAGCTCCGATTATCTTAATCATGCCGGAAACGTGACCCCAGTGATCGAACTCCAGGGTAGAGGAGCGTGACAAAAAAGTCTACACACCATCTTCAACCCGCCTAAGCAAGGTCACCGCAAACTCCTAATAGCCTCTCAATTCAGGTACGTTGGGCGGCACCGTACCCCAACACTGATGCCAAAAACCATGTTGAAGGTGGGATAGAGTGATCTACATCCGTACAGACCGCAGGCCAATTATCTCGACAAAGGGGATGCGTCTCATCGGGTGGAAATGATTGAGAGGAAACAGTTGAATTATTGTAGCGGATGATCCGAGCTGCTGCTTAAGCTTAAACAAAATTTCAGCCGCAGTTCATTTATAGTAATGGATCTCTCACTGAACAAACTATTTGCGTTGGCGTGAATTGATCCTAAAATGTGGTCCGGGAAATCAAGTTGCAAGACGGAGTGGCTTAACAACAAAACCCCCACTCATCTCCAGCCCGCCAAAGCAAGGTCACCCCAAACACCTGCACAGCCTCCTAATTCAGGTACACTGGTCTGAACCACGCCCCAACATTGATGCAGAAAATCAGACTCCCTCGACAGCAAGGATAATAACCGCACACTCCATTTCCAACGCGCCTCTGCAAGGTCTCCGCAACCTCCTACATAGCCTCCTAATCCGGGCATATTGCTCTGAATCATGCCCAAACACTGATGGTGAAAATTATATCGCGATATGAATCTGCACAGAGCGCTGCCCAACTGTGTCGAGAACAGCGCACTCCACTCATCGAGACGCCTCCTCCTGCGAGGAAAAAAAAATGGTCCAAGCTGAAGATCGGAAATGCAGCGTCCGCTGTCAAAATGTCAACGAAAATTAATTTTAAAATAGAGAGGAGAGTTCATTGAAAAACGTATAGTTCATTCTGCCGTCGGTTCTACGTGCCGGTTGCCTGACCCCGAGCGCAGGCTAGGGCGTTGCCGATCGAGTGAACACCTCCACCGAAGTCTATTGAATGTGAGCACAAGAGTACGAATATTAATGTGTAAACACTTAGATTGTGTTGATCTTCCGTTCTGGATCCTTTGCTCGGCGATGTGCCTTGCTGCAATACAGTCGTTCTCGCTCGATTCTGCACCAGCCCAGGGCCCCATGCAAGTCAGTGTATATGCACGAACTGAAGGCTTTTAGGAGAAATGATATTAGAAGCGTCAATCTGATTTTACGTTTTACGTGCTTGATAATGCAATTAAACATGTTTCGACATAATTCGTCTAGTCCATCCGCGCAACGAACCTAATAATTCACTCTCTCGCGGTGTCGTGAGACCGCCCCAGAGGGGTGGAGACAATGCAACTTGCACTACACAGCAGAAAGGAATGTCTCCATGTGCTTGACGGGCTCTTGAAGCTTGTTTATTCTTCAATTCAGCTTATACTCTGCAAATATTCCTGCTTTACAGGCTGCCTCCGACACACCTCCTGGAACCAATGGTCAGGACTGCGAAACTCTTTCAATTCAGGCGAGTCGATCACGCAGTTTTCAACTAGTTAGTATGGGCAGTTTATCCAACGCCTGTCACAGCACCGCGGACTCCCCGTAGTCTGCAGAAAAGACTTCGGGCAGCGCAGTGAGTGCGCTCGTTAGAGTCCCAGACCCTGGGCAGACGTAATCCTCTAACTCTTCCTGCAAGCTGTCGTATCGCTGCATTGACAGTCTCCTTTTGGTGTACCACAACGGAAACATTTGCCCCAGTTGAGCTCCCCTGGGCACTTGCCTCATCCTCTCATTCACCTGCTCGTATCTTCCGTTTGGCACTAACTAGCAACATCCACTGCCTATTGCCCCATGGGGTCTGCTGCCGTATTTTAGTTGTAGGTCTGTGCTTGTTGCACATGCAGGAAGGAGAGCCTGCTGCGACGCAGCTAGCTAGGTAGCCAGTGATACTGCAGCAGTGAGGCTGTGAGTTAGTGTTTCTGGTTAGGGTTTTCATGTGTGGACGTCCAGAGAACGAACTCTCCGCTTCAGTGCACGTAACGTACTGTCGCAGATGAGTTGCCGCGTGCTAAGGCAACCGAGAACAGAACTAAAACATCCACCGAGCGGACGACGCCAAACCAAATCAAGATGAAACATGACAAAAGAGTAATGATGAAAAAAAAGAGAGCTCGGGAAGACCGGAGAAGGTCTGTCTCTGGCGCCTCCAAAATGCATCACGAGTCACCTCCGGCTTGGGGCAGCAAAATGTAGATACGCTCAGTGCCAATCTGCAAAGCCCACAGCGAGAGACGCGCCTTACAGCACAGCCTCCAACGAACCTTCGGTAACGCACATCTCAGGTGTACGCCTCTAGTCATGGCCGGCGCAGCTGCTGCTGCCGAGGCGCTGGCGCGCCTCTCCATAAAGCGCACAGAATCCACCACCAGAAGCAAAACAGACTAAAAACCCATGCATGCAAATGCATGCATATATACAAGTATATACACAGAAATGCATACAAAGAAAAGCACGCATGCATCCAACCATCGGATGGGAGCATGCAAGCAACCGATGCATCGATTCAACACCCAATGAAGCATGCAAGCCGACGGGATGCATGCAGATTACCACTTCATGCAACAAACGATCAGTCCATGAATGCGTGCACAGGCTGCATGCAAGCACGCGTACATACAGTGTACTGGATTCGCTGCACGGACTCGGCTTGAAAACTACAAGGAAGCGTCAGGGGGAGGCAGAGCCTTAGCGGCTATCAGTCCCTCTCTCATTTCGTTGTCTTCCTCGTCAGCGCAGCCATAGACAAAACGGATGCAAGGCAAAGCGGAAGCAGGAGCTGCGCATTGCATCCAGAGGCGGCGTTCACGCCGCTGGCCGACGACTACAGAAGAAGCTCATGGGAGATAAGAGGAATAAGAAACACAACATCAGTAACAAAAGGGTTCAGGCCTGACAGAAATTCAACGACGGTCGTTCGATGAAGTCACGCAGTTGCTTAAAGCAGACAGATGCATAAATAGCCAGATGTAAAACATGTGTAGCTCAGGCATGGAGATACACGCACGTATGCACGAGGGAAACAGGCGATTAGCGCTGTGTACGCTGTGTCAAAGAGCAAACCTAGAGGTGGTTGAAGGCCTGTGCTACGAGAACGACGGCTTCCAGCTCACTAGCGGCTGCATTAAGCTGCTGCAAGCTGATGCATGGAGCTGCTGCAATGAATCTCCACAAGGATACGGTACTGAAACCCCTGCGGCGGCCGCCTGCGGAGTCAGAGGCGATCACCTCGCTGCGACGAGGCGACATAGGCCAACAGGCCAACACCCGCCGAAGGCTCAGCTTTTTCCCTGGAGAAACAAAAGACCGCATGCGTTTGCCATTGATGAGTTGTCTCCAAGAGAAAAGAAAGCGGAGCTCTCAAGAACAAGCATATCTCGTGCTGGTGCTTTTCTACACCTGCTGCTGCTGTTGCTGCGCTGCTGCTGAGCTGTTACCGGTGAAGTCCCTTTTCGACGTAACCAACAAAACTGACACTACCCCGGTGTTCACTATAACTCTATTCATTCACTTTTCTAATCAAATTCGTTTGTTTCTATGGGTGCATCTGTGCTGAAATAGAGGCCACTATAACAACAGGAGAGAAGGAACAGTCAAAGAGCTTGAAGGAAACAAAAAGGAAACAGAGCAACCAGGCAGACCAAACGAAGCCTACGCGCCGGAGTCAATGAACCATCGAGGCAAACAAAACAAAAAAAAAAANAAAAAAAAAAACTAAATAGGTGAAGAATCCAATGATGCACAGCTAGCAAAGGAAACGCCAAACACTTCACCACACAAGATGCCCTGGCTGCACGCAGCATATTGGCTTTCGAAGGAGAGAGTGGTATTTCGTTGCATTTGGCAGTCGAAGAGTCCATCAGCTGTGCACCCGTAGAAAACTTGGGTGATGCAAAGATTAAGATAAAGTCTGTGGAGACATCTGCCTGCATGCATGAGCGATGCGTGCATGTGCACATACCTGATCGGTAGCTTTCTTTCCAAGCCCCATTGGCACTCGGCTGCAGCACCAGGCGGAGCGTTTCGCTTACGCTAGCGGCTGCTGCATCCGGACGGCCTTCCAGAAGGTGCCGAAGAGCTGCAAAGCCCCACAAAATCCACACATGCAGGCGCATGCAAGGCGTACAGGTTTCCAGTTCCTGCGTGCAGCCCCTGAATGTACGGCGTGTACACCCAGGAGTGAAAGCGGCAACGCATTGCCCTCCTTCGCAACAGTCTTTGTCTCAGCCGGAAGCAATCATACATACAGACATGCACGCAAAGATACATGCATACATAGATAGGGACACACACACATACGAACACGCAAAAACAAAAACACACATACATATGCATATGCAATATGCATACACATATACATATTACATATACATATATATATATACATATACATATTACATATACATATATATATATACATATATATATATATATATATATATATATATATATATATATGATGAACGATATATGTATACAAGCCTAGGCGTGAGCGTAGCCGCAAGCACACCCCTTTGCCGCTGAAAACATGCAAACATAATGGTATTGGCCCTCCCACGAACAAACGCGACGAGACCATCACAGCAAGTTATGAGAGATTTTACGCGAAGATCACATGCGCATGCACACTGCATACATGCTGTCGCTGACCTGCTGCGTGTTCAGGCGACAGTTCATCCTTGCCTACGTCAACTACAGACAACCTCTGTTAGAGGTTTGCCTCCATTTGTTTTGTTTTTGCTTCTTTTCCCGCACACCATGGATCGTGTTGGTTCTTAGCTTCTGTTGCGTATTCCTCCTGCTGCTGCTGCAGCGGTAGCTACTGCTGCTGCTGGTCATGCTCTGCTGAATACGTGTCTTGCTGGGGTTCAAGCTGCCCAAGGAGGCGTGAAGAAGCCTCACCCTCACCCCGAGTCTCTTCGCTTCCCCGGCCGTCTGTCTCCATGAAATCCGCGTTGTCTCCCACAAGCTGTGCAGACAGCTCGCTGGCCTCCCCGTTCTTCTCTAGCCAATGCTGAGCAGCAGAAGAAACCAAAGAGGAAACAAATTCGTCTTCCGCTGCGTTCACACATGTTTCACGTTTGCATATGCAATATATAATGACTCATGAAGAAACCACCAATTGCTTGCGACAATGATAATACTTTTGATGCAAACAAAAACGAAACACAAAAACAGACGCACGCGCATTCGCTCGCTTCCTCGGCGTAGCTCAAGGAGTTAGACGGCCGGAGGAGATACGGCTGCCTGTTGCTTGTGCTGCTGCTGTTGCTGCAGTGGATATGCTGGGGTTGAAATGGAGACAGCTAGGTGCTGTGGCAGTTGCGCTGAGGGAGACGCTCACCACTCTCCTCCTCTATTCATCGCCCCCCCCAGCATCCGCCTCCTCCCTGCAACCCCACCAAACACCACTAACTCTAAACGTATAGATATAGCTGAGCTCTATACATTAGAGCCTTCCCCATCCACTAGCAGGATGCTTCACCTTCACCTCTATCGCCCGTGTTTAACCCCCAAGCACTAAACCCTAAACCCTCTTACTGGGTGTCTGTCTCAGCCAGCTCTGCCAGAGGCCTCGTGCGTCCCTGCCCCCTCATATTGTTGATAGACCTGTCCCCTCTGTAGCTGGGGTTTCTCCTCACCTTCCCGGTGTGAGTCATCCCCTTTGTTTTTTTCCCGGGCAGCGACGCTTTCGTCTTCGTCTATATCCTGCATCGGTTGTTGCAGCAGCTTGAGTTGCTGCAACCCGCGCCCCACCGCTCCGGTGTATTCAGGCGGACTAAACGACAGCGAAGAGGGCGACGGGGGCTTTCTGCTGTCTCCTTGTTGGGGTCCCCCGGTGCTGCTGCTGCGAGTAAAGGAGCCACAACCTTTCTCTGCTGCAGCGGTAGCAGCAGCAGCAGCAGCATTTCTCTCGTCCTCATCCCAGCCGTCAGCTCCCTTCTCCTCCCCGACGTCTCCCCCATCTTCCCCGTCACCTTGCATTGTCTCCCGCTGCACAAAGCTGCATGCACCGACCCACCAAAAGCATGCAGCACCAAAGATAAAGCCCCACAGCCATCCCTGAAACTGCGCATGCGCATGCGTCTCACCCAACCGTGCAGCTAGCAGCACTGATATCAAAAGCAGAAAAGGCAAAGCCCGCAGCAGCAACTTCTATGCAAAAGGCCTCGTTGTCTTTTCTCTTAGGGGGCCTCTGTCGGCGCTGCTGAGGGGAACTGCTAGACCTGCAACACCAGGCAAAGCACATGCAGGAGCCCCAGCTGCAGCAGCAGCAACAAACGTAGCAGCACCACCAGCAGCTCTCTGAGCTTCACGTGACACCCTCGTGGTCAGCATAAGGCTCGCACTACGCAGCCGCCACCAGGCTCACCCCTAAATTATAGACCCTAAATTATAGACCCCACCACACCCCATATACTGATACATAGAGATGCAGGCGCCAGACGGCTGCAGTATGTATATACTGCATATATATATATATATATATATATATATATATATATATATATATATATATATATATATATATANTATATATATATATATATATATATATATATACTGTATATACTGAACGCAGGATGCCTCGGCTTTGCCTGAGTGATTCTCTAAGCCCTCTAAACAACCCCACCGCATACAACCAGTACAGTGCGCGCTGCCAGCTGCGCCGCCGAGGGCTCGGTGGGGCGCCGCAGGGAGAGAGGGGTTGGGGGGAGCAGCGGCCTCAGCTACACAACGACAGAGGCGCATCAATATCTCTGTCTCCCTCTCTGGCTGCATCTCATCACAGAGCAGCACCGCAGAGGCCTTTTCGTCTCATCCTCGGCAGCAGCCCCCCAACCCTTCACTATTAGTATCTTTTATATTATATTATTTTTATTATTATATATTATAATAATAATAATAATATAATACAAAAATACTATACTAATATCTTTTATATTATATTATTTTTATTATTATATATAATAATAATAATAATATAATAGAAAAATACTATACTAGTATTTTTCTATTATATTATTATTATTTTTATTATTATTATATTATTATTATTACTTTTATTATTATTATATCTTTACTATTACTACTACTATTGCTTTTAATTCTTATCATTTTATTATCTATTACTATAATAGCTACAAATGCAGAAAAAAAAAAGAAGAAACAGAGAAGAGACAAAGACACACAGAAGCAAAACGCTTCAGTTCAACGAGTTGAGCTGCTGCAGCAGCAGCAGAAGCAACTGTTGCTGCTGCTGCTGCAGCTGCTGCTGTTGTTGCTGCTGTTTTTGTGTTCTGCTGCTGCCGTTGTTTGTACTTCCGCTGCTGGTCTTGTTACTGCTGCTGCTGCTTCCGTTTCTGCAGTTGCTGCTGCAGCTGCTGTTGCTGCTGCTGCAGAAGCAGCAGCATGATATTACTTGCAGCAAATGCTTATTTGTTTATCTCTTGGATGGTATATATATATGTATACATATACATATACATATACATCTTAAAATAACCAAATAAACGGAAATAAAATAAAATAAAATAAAATATTTCTATTTTATTTTATTTTATTTTATTTTATATGAATATAATAATTTATTTTTTAGCGGGTATAACTTGTTGTTTGAGTGAAGGGGGCAATGATCCTTCTATTTTTTGTGCTTTAGTTTTATCTGTGACAACAAGTGTATATAAATGTTTCGAGCATCTTATTTTAAATTTAGTAATAACAACACCAGCAGAAGAAGGAGCAAACGGCTGCCCTTTAGGCCTCCTTATGCTGCGGTGTATCACCACCTTTCTAGCATCCTTACGCCGAGCCGTTTGCAGAAACTCACGAATATCCCGAATCTCACGCGCCATCTTCACCTGTATATACACCCCAAAAAAAAAAAAAAATAAATAAATAAATACATAATTAATGGTGATAAAGGATAAATTATATATTATAGATTACAAACAAACAAGAAACAATAAAAATTACTTATTTGTAAAGAAATTCAGAATAGAGAGGATCGCGTACACCACCTTCGCTTGTATATACACCGCAACATAAACCACAAACCCTAAACCCTAAACCCTAAACCCTAAACCAGAAACCCTAATCCATAACCACTTTTAAGAATGACATGGATTGCAAGAGGTATATTCATCTGTATATACACCTCAGCACAAACCCTAAACCCTAAACCCTAAACCCTAAACCCTCTAGAAAGCTCGCAAGTATCACGCGCCATCTTCATCTGTATATACACCCCAACAAAAACTACACCAAACCACACAGCACGGCAAGCCAGGGCCGAACAAAGCTATCAACAAAAATAGGAAGGAGATGAAGGAAACATATATATATATATATATATATATATA